AATATAAATTTGAATTTGTATTTGATTTGATTTTCAAATCAAATATTCAAATGTCAAATCGAATTGCGGAACCCTAGCTACTATAGTGTCAAACTAGATTCTTCAACTTATATATCCTAAAGATCAGTTAGACTTATAGCATAGTGTCAGCTGAAATTAATTACAAATTTATTGCATCATCTGACATGATTTTTTTACATAGTATTGATTACCTTGGTACTTTAATAGGCAACCAAACAGGCGTAAAAAGATAAGTATCTTAGTATAGAACTAAGCATTCAAACAGGTATCAAATATCGATATTCTCAACATAGAACCAGGTTATCAAATAGGTACAAAAGATCAGTATTCTTAATGTAAACTTTAGTATATAAATAAGGTAAAAATAGGAAGAAAATAGTGGTAATTAGGTTAAAGTGTGAATGGTATTTAGATTATAGCATGATAATAAAAATATACATAAAAGAAAAACGTAAATAGCAGAAAAAGCTTAAATAGATATCTAGAATATGAGAAAAGATAACATTAAAAGAAAAGAGATAAGATAAAGAATAATAATCAGGTTATGAAATCAGATTAAAACATAATAATTAAGTTATAATTATTAGGTTATGAAATGGTATTCAGATTATAGCATGATATTCAGACTATAATGAGTATTCAGATTATAGCATGATAACATAATCTAATTTAAGTAAAATACCACGTTTTAATATAATTATATTAAAGTGTGATATCCCACTTCTTATCCATTAGATAATTGTTAAGATTAGAAATCCATTTAACATCTGATTAAAAGGTTATTAAGATTCTAGATAGGTTAAGAGCAGAATATCTTAATTTCATATCCTATAAAAAATAAAAAATGGTCGGATTTAGTAAAATCTTACAAAAACTTACCAGCTAAACCTGTTCAAATTGTCAAATTTTTCTAGTTTCATTAATAACATTAAATAATAAAAATAATTTAAATACTAATACAAGCTTTGTATCATCATTTTTAATGAACATTCTTTAAAAATGCATCAGCTCTTTTAACATTCCCTAAAATTCCAAATAGAAAAAATTAAAAATTTAAAACTTATGATCCAATTTGAACTTACAGGAAGTTAAAGAAATATCACTTTTATTATTTTAGCAATTCTAGAATTCCAACCTATAAAACAATAATATGTGACTAAAACTTAAATTATTACAATAGTTCCTATAATTACTTAAATGCTATACTTCCTTTTAGGAAACAAGCATAACAGACATTCCAAATTTGATTGCTAATATTTTCTTTAGATGTAATCATAATGTATACAGTATTTGAATAATTATTTTTATGAAATTCACTTATTTAGGAAAAAATTATATTAGCTATTTTGAACTAGAACTTCATATTTTACTAAAACTTTGACGATTAAGTTAAAAATAGAGTTTTGCATTGTCTTCTGATGTCGATCAATATAATATTTAATGTATGACATTATTTTTATTAAGCTAACTTTGTTCCCGTGACTATTTTCTATTAAATAAGCCAATAGAAAAATTTTGGGTCAAAAATAGATCTCCTCCTTTTTTACCCATATTATGTTGTTCCTTCATAATCCAAAAAATTATAAAATTATACTTTTTTCCCCCCAAATGTAGTTTAAAAGTCTTAATGCGATTAAAAAAATAAAAAAATAAATAAAAATATCAAACAGCTCCCATTATGACTTGAAAATTTTTGAAAATTGTTATGATAAATATCCTCGCAAAAGATAAAATAAGACATGACCAAAATATATTTCTTCTATATAATACAATAATATCCCTAAATCGAACTTGTGTTCATTCTATCCAAAAACTTTAAATGACATTATATTGTACATTCATGATAAAAAAAAAAAAAGAAATATTTGTTTTATCATACGCAATCACGCCCTTATTAAAAAATACAACCTGTTCTTGATTAAAATTTTTTTTTTTTTGTTTTTAAAAAAAAAAAGTGGAGAATATACATGATTTTTGTAAAGGATGTCTCTATAATAAACACGAATCTGTTCAAAAGATGTAAAAATAACGGTCTAATACAATTAATATTTCCAATTAGGGTCTATTTTAACATCGTCAAACTTTGTTTTATAATAACCACTATGTCGACGTTCAACACCCTCATCTTTTTCAGATTTTCTATTTTCTTGCTTAGATCCTTTGCCTTTTTCTTTATCTCTACAAATATCATTTTTATTTATACCGATTCCATTCGTATCAGATGACCTGGATCTTGTCAATTTTGTCGAGGTTCCTGAACCCGAAGTTGTTCCTTCAGATAAATAACTTTCAATTTGTAGCCATTGATGATTCAATGATTGTCTTGCCGTTGCTCTCTTGTCTGGATTTAAATCTAACATTGGTAATAGAAATGAGCTCATAAAATCTGCATCAGTTCGTGAAAGCCCATATTTGTCATGCAAAACATCAGCAAGTTTCCAATGTCGAAGTTTATGAATATGTCTTAATTCCCCTTTGAAATGTAAAATGGTAGGTTACATATTATTAATAATAAAAGAATACGAGAGAATGACCGTACCTTTACGATTGAAGATTTCGTTTGAATACTTTCCACTTAAGGCCAGATTTTTGGGAAAAATACCCAAAAGCTCCATAATTTGAGCTATATGGTCTAAATAAATAAATATATATATAAAATAAATATTAATATATTTTATATTATTTGTGAATAATAAGGGTAAATAATAAATTGAACATTTACCATCATCCTTATTGTACCGTGACCCTGCTTGTGGATCGAACAAATAATCACCCGTATAAAGTTCAAAAATCTAAATTATTATTATTAATTTTTTCAATGAAAAAATAATCAATTTTTTTTTTTAAAAAATCAAAATCAAAATCAAAATAGGGTTGCACATACCATACATGCCATGCTCCAAATGTCTGCACTACTTCCCCATCGACTACCAAGAATGACTTCCGGACTTCTGTATTGTCTTGTCTGAATATCGTTTGTGAAATGATGATCCACCCAACATGCATTGCCTAGATCAGCAATTTTGACAGTAATCATATCCGGGGTAGTCCATTTCGTTGAAGTAGATGATTTTCGTGTTAGATTCGTTTGGACACTGGAAGAGGTTACTATGGATGATGATGAATGGTAATTCGGAGTAGAAGAATCGACAAGGGAAATATCATTAAGGTCGCGTTCCAATGTTTCCCTAATAAAATAATAGGATTATAATAAATAGCTTATTTTAAAAATAATTATTTTCATTTGAAAATTATCTCAACTTACGTCGTTACATCACCTGGACTACAAATATTTTCGACCATTTCAATATCTTCTCCATTTTCTATATCCTTTTTTACGACCTCACTATCTATATCCATTCCTATTCCATTTGTCACATGTTCCCCATTTACTTTTGCAGCTCTTTTCTTCAATTTTTGCTTCAATTTTTTTTTCTGATTTTTAGACATACCTTGTTTTGGAGGTGGAGGTTGTTGCAATACTATTGATGAATTTTGTACAGACGGTGACTTTGACGACGGTGATGAAAGAGGTTGGCTTCCAGTAATACGTAATTGCTGCCCCTTTTTAGTAGTAGTAGTAGCCGGTGGTTTTCCGCGACATAAAAGTTCATTTCGGACAACCTCCTCCACATCATCAATGCATACCAATACATTCTCCGGTTTTAAATCAGTATGGATAACTCCACATTCCCTATGCATATAATCTAGACCCATAAGTACTTGCTTTGTAATTTGTTTGACCAAATGTGATGGAATCCCTCGATGACTGTATCTTTTTATCAAACTCAACAAGTTTTCGCCCAATACTTCAAATACCATACACACATGCGTTCCATGGGGTCCTTTATGCTGAAAATGGTCTAAAAGTTCAACTACATGACGACGACCAGGAGCCTCTGGATTTGCGTCAACGATCTTTTGTAATAATTTTATTTCATCTAAAGCTGTTTCAGTATAATGTGGGGCAGACTTAACAACTTTAAGAGCGACATGTCGATTTTGACTTTAAATACAGTATTTTTTAAAAAAAATTATATATCAAATAAATTAAAAAAAAAATTCTTAAATTTAAGAAATTTACAATTCAACATAAATAATTAATAAACTTTCTTACTGATTGTCTTTAGCAAGCCAAACTGTGGAGAAGTGACCCCAACCTAACTTTCGGGCAACCGTGTATCTTCCATCATTAAATATATCACCAACTTTAACGGGATGATAACCTCCTTTACAATAATCCTCAAAGTCTTCCTCATCTTCGGTCGTTATTTTTTCGGATTCCTCTTCACCTGCTGAACTAGAGGAAGAGGTTGAATAGTCTTCATTAATTGTTTGACGCTGTTGAGAAGCAAACGATTGAGGATAACTACATAAGTTTTAGTAAAAATTGTTAATTATTCGAATGCTAATGTAGAACCTTGAATTTTTCGTGTCCAATCAACATGAAAAAAAAACAAAAAAAATTCATATATATATGTATGTATGTATGTACATTTTATTCGAATTATGAGAGGTAGTTGGAGATAGTACAGGGGACATTGGTGAGGTAATGCCAGGCCTAATTGGTGTACTTGGCATATTAGTTGAAGGTTTCACGCCAGGGTCAGTACGTCGTCGTCTCTTTTTTTGTGCAGTAACTTGCTTAGCTTTCAAAGTGGCGACTTGTCTTCGTTTATCAGACATTTGATCACACACCGAAGCTCAGTACGAAGTAAGTTACGAAAGAGGTGGTTTCTCGTATAGTTGGCAAATAGGCAGTTAATTAGAAGATTGAGTTAGTGAATAGGTGATATATTTCCGATCTCATTTACTGATTGTGATGTCCATAAACTGAGCCACAAACCCACAAACCCAACCAACATTTGAATGGTTTCCTTTGATCACACGTGATATAATGATTTATCGTATTTAAAAAGAAAAAAAAAGTTATCGAGAGATCTATTGAAAAATGTAAGAAATCATGCATAGTATTATTTCTTTTATTTCGTTTAAAATTACTAAGAATAATAAATCTCCCTTTTCGTTTATAACAAAAATAGGAACTTAACAAAATCAAGTTGGGCCGATGAAGTCGGCGAAGAATTTGGTAAAATCTTGAATTCTTTAAAATATGAGGTCTTTTTGATCTATTTGAAATTCACCGCGTTATTTTTGTTTTAGATCTGCCATTTGAAACCTTTACCGATGAAAATGGAATCAAAACGATACTTGAATACAAAACAAACGACGACGGAAAAAAAGTGAAAGTATGTTGTTTTTCTTATAGAAACGTTTGTTATCCGTGAGTTTTTTCTAATTTATATTATTTAAAAGGTTACTAGAAAGATCAAGAAAACCTTGATTAAAGAATGTGTTAATAAAGCTGTTGCCGAGAGAAAGGTAAATTTAATAATAAATTTAATAAGTCTTCAACAACATTTGTTCTTGAACTTTTTTTAAAATTTAATTATTAGAAATTGGCCAAATTTGGCGACGAACGAGGAAAGAAAGTTGGTCCCGATCTCAGTACAACAAGCATTGGAGAGCAAATATCCTTACAATTATCATCCACTGGCAAAGTATGTGTATTAAGATTTCTTTTTTTTTTTGATTTTTTAACAGCTTTTTTAAATTTTTATATTCATATAGCATTCAGAATCAGTCGAAGAAAACGATATAAATAAGAAAAAGGCGGCGTTAGTAGGGAAGAAAATTCTTTGCCGTATTTGTAAAAATGACCATTTCACAATTCAATGTCCTTATAAGGATACCCTTCAACCTTTGGATGAACTGGGCAAAGAACTAGAAGCCAGTAAGGAAACTGGTAAGCTTTGATTTGATTTTGGGAAATTTTGCTCTTCGAGCCCTGTTCCAAATCTTTTTTAATGTTTTTTTATTTTTTATTAGCACCAGTTAGTGAGCCAATAACAGCCGAAGCTTCCACAGGAGGAAAGTATATTCCTCCCAGTATGCGTGCTGGAGCCAAGCCGACAACTGGTGATTCATATAAGGAACGACGAGGTAAAATTTTCTCAATATTTTGTGAACATTTGATTTCTTTTGCTTTAATTTTTCTTAAATTTTTTTTTCAGACGATGCTACTATTCGTGTTACAAACTTATCGGAAGACACTACTGAGAACGACATACATGATCTCTTCCGCCGCTTCGGTAATATTTCTCGTGTTTATCTCGCACGTGATCGAGAAACGAATGCTTGTAAAGGATTTGCATTTGTTAGCTTTGGACATCGCGAGGATGCATCTAAAGCATTACTAGCCATTAATGGATACGGTTACGATAACTTGATTTTAAGAGTGGAATGGGCCAAGTAATTAATTTTCTTCTTCTATCTTTGTTGCTTTACTTTCATTTAATTAATTTCATCGTCATCATATCATCATCATCATCATCATTGTAGGTCTTCCACCTCTTAATAAATTATTATACAATTAATTTTCACTTTTGGCAATAAAAATAATTTAGTAATTTTTAATTTTTTTTTGATGTAATTAATTGTTTCTAAAAAAAAAAAAAAAACAAAAACAAAAAAAAAATAAACAAAAAAAAATTTGTTATATTAAATTACAATTTTTTAAATATTAAAAGAAATAAATTCTCCCTTATAAAAATAAATAAATTATGAAATATTGTTATTAATGAAGGAATAAGGTTCAAAATGACTTAATACCAATGTAAAAACTTCTCTAATTTAAAAGTGTTCGTTTTAAATTTTGTTCTATCTATCTTTTTCCCCTTACTTTCACGAAAATTTTCAATCCTTGCGTCTTCAAGCAAAAAATTATACCAATAAGCTATTAAATAAATAGTGCTGAAATGCCATAAAGCATGAGCATCTACAATTCCCCACCAAGGAGGAAAATCAAAAATTTCCAGGGACATTGCTAATAAGATTAAAGTTACACATACGATAGGTTTCCAAGCATCATCAGGTCTTTTATACCAATGTGATATTGACCAGCTAATCCATAATGCATTATTTAACATTCCAACGATAACATTCGCTAGGATATTATATCCATAATCAAAGTTTATAAAATGTAAATATGATACATGTGCAACATAAGCTGATAAACATATGATGGCCCATAAAGTAGTTTGTTGAAAGTTACGAATTTGAAATATACGTAAAACTCCATAAAATAAAGAATATAAAATTGCAAGTCCCGCTGAATAATAATCCAATTTTTCTGTAAAAGGAAAATCTCTCGAATGATAAATAATCGACCATATCCAACTATTAATACCAATGTAAGCATAATAAATATAGAATTTTTTCATATAATAAGAATCTGGAAGACGTCTTAAAAGTGGTAGATAACGATAATGCACATAACCATTCAATACGCTAAAAAGTACACTAGCAGGTTCTTGTATTCCAAGTAAACGGTGAAAAGGCCATTTTCCATAATATTGATGTATTTCTTGATTGGAATGTATAGCTTGATCGGTTATCTCGTGCATACAATTATATTTACACTCGTCTTCACACGTCCAAGCAAAGAATCGTAAATATAGAGATAATGTAGGATTTTGTGAACATACTGTTGAGACACAAGTATTAACACACGTCTGAAATTCTTCACTACGATCTCCTATTGAGGAAAAAACTGGTGGTAAAGATATTATTAATAATAATATAATGGACGAAAAGAGAACCAAATTTGATTTTACAAGCATCGGTATGTTTAATGAAATCATTTGGTAAAAGTTGAAATCTTTAAGACATGAAAAGAGACGATTGTAATAAATGTAGAATATTTGTTACACGGTACCCCTTAAATGGCTACTAAATATCTCACAGAATCATGTGATATTCATATGCGTTTTTACTAGATCACACAAAATCGGTGACATATTTGTTACACGAGATAAATAAGGTTTACCCCGCTCAACCGCTCAAAAATTGAAATGATTCTTTAAAAAAAAATAATAAAAAATCAATTATTTAACGAATACGTAAGCCCAGGCTAACTGTTATTCATGATTTAAACAAGAGAAAGGTTTTTTTACTGCTAACATTTCAACGATTCAATTATTCATTGACAAAATTGTATTTAATTCGCAAATAACGAAACTGTTTTTTTTGGAAAAATTCTATTTAAGTCGTTAGCCAATGTAATTATGATTATGGGTAAAAAAAACAAATCATGCATTATATACGTTCTCTTTTAGAGCAATCGTATGCAAGATCATTGTTTTTTAACAAAATGTTGTAATTCTTCGATTAATGTGTGAAAATTGGTTTTGTATCGCTCACCTAAATTTCCAATAAGTTTCTAAAAGAATATTTCAAAAATTAAACAAGTGGGGCTTCTATGATTTTTTAATATAATATCAATTATAATATTGTTCTTTTACCATTCTTTACTAGATCAACGAACGCATTTTTTTAATTTGACTTTAAGCTATTCAATAATTGTGATATCAAACATGCGGAGGATCAAAATAGATATACAGCCATTGGTTCGGTTGTGCGTTTATAGTACTTTATTAAATTTAATTAACATATACAATCTATTAGCGTTAGATTTCTATTTTCATGTTTTGACGCTTTCTTACCTCAAAAAATTTTTGTGTAATGCTGCTGCTACATTAAATTTCCTATGATCGGATCGCCTTCAGTCCAATCAGATCGCTAAAGACCGGATCGAGATCGGACAGTAAAGATCATTTTAATTTTTTTTCCTCCAAAAAAAAAAATGACTTCTCGGGATGCATCAAATCGTCTCCAATTTCTTTGGAATGCGTCACATTCATTGTTATCAACTGTACCTAGCCTTTCGGCTTTTTACATGCAACAATTTAACCAATTTGCCGGTGAAAAGGAATTGAATCTTGCCGAAGCTGTTAAACGAAAATATTGTAGCTATTGTGGTAGTATTTTCCTTCCAGGTTTAAATAGCCAGATTAGAATTGAAAAAAATAAAAGGAGAGATAAAAAAAGGAAATTAGTAGATGATATTGTTAACAATACTAATGATGGCAATAAAAAAGTGAGCTCGGTTCAGGATTCAGTCGAACAACTAGAAGGTAATCAGACTATTGTAATTTTCTTTGATAATGTTTAAACAAATTTAATTTAGAGAATTTACTATTTTATAGAATTGAATGAATCCAAACAAATTCTGCATGAAAAGAGTCCTCGAGGAAAAAGACAAATAATTTACATTCATCCAAGATCAACCACTTCTGTTTCATTATCAAATAATCAAAAACAAACTCATGCTAGACGTCAACAATACAAGAATCATGTCTCTTATATTTGTAATTCTTGTAATCGCGAAACAAGGTTTGCTGGTTGTACTAAGAGAGTTATTAATCAGATTTCAAGTCTTAGCAATGCTAAAGAACTGAAAGAGGAAAATACTTTTAATGTCACCACGCCGATTATTCCCCAAGTTTCCAACTTTTCTAATACATCACCATCAACTAATTCATTTAAACCGATTCAAGACAAACTTTCAACATATAAGACGAAAAATACAAAGAAGAAGCAAAAGAAAATGCAACTTCAACAGTTACTGGCCAAGGAGAAAAGAAAAGACTCTGGAAAAGATGATTTTAACGATTCTTCGGATGGATTGAGCTTGGCAAATTTTTTGTCCGCATTATAATATAGTTGAATGATTATTATAATTGTTAATAATATTAGGTTATTAATAAAATAAGAGATAACCATTAGTTTTTCGATCTAATTATTATTAAAATTAAAGATAGTAAGGTCAAATCTATTAATTAATATAATTTTTTTAAATAATGCTTTTTTAATTATGAATTATTTATTTTGTATTATAATGCATATACTAAAATTTAGCAACAAAAATAAATATAATGAACAATTTAGCATATTTTAAAATGAATAAAAAAGTTATTTGTCTTAAAAATTTCAAAAGTTTTATTACAGATACAATTTTTTAATAATAATAATTAATAACTAAAAGAATTAGATAATTATTATAAATCTTTAAAATTTATTTAATTTTCTCAATAAAATTTATTATTTTAGAAAATAAAAAAACTTTCTATATAAAACCTTCATTAAATCATAATTTATTTATAGTTATTTTGCATTTAACATTAATTCTTATTCTAATATAAAAAATTAATGTTATACAGATCCCGGTTAAAAATCTCTAAATAATTTTTAATATAATATTTCTCAAAAATTATTAATTAAAATTGAATTAATTTTTTTATATAGTTAGAATTCAACAATCTTTACTGATTTATTATTAAAAAAATCATTTTAAAAATTCTGTTAAATAAAATTTATTAACTAATACATATAAATAATCAATAATAATTTAATTAAAAGAAAATAATAATAATTATAATAAAAATTATTTCAAAAAATATAATAATAGATAATATATTTATAAAATATTAAAATTTGAGTTAATTTAAAATTATTATTAATATATATTTTAATATAAAAAAATATATTAAAATTATAAAATGTTTAAAATATTATCTTATATATTAATTATTTTAAAAAATAGTGATTAAAATTAGGCTTAAATTTTTAATAATTTAATAAATTTAATATTTATTTATTATATTTTAAATTTTGTTTAATTTGAATAATTAGATATTAAAAAAATTTATTTAAAATTTTAGTGAGATACTACGCTTTAATATAACTATGTTAAAGTGTGGTATTCTATTTGGATTAGGTTATGTTATCATGTTATCTCTTAGATTGTCTAGCAGGCAAATTTGCCTGTAAAATTAAAAAAAATCAGTAATTTCTTTATAAAATATAAATATTAATTTTAGTAATATTATTACTATATAAAAAATATAGTTTAATATATATTTTATCAACTTTATTAACAAAGATTTTAAAGATTTTAAGTTTTTTAAAAGGTTTTTAAAATAATTTAATTATAAAATTAAGTTTCAAAAAATTTAATATAATAATTTTTTAAGAATTCTTTAAAAATTCATATGTTTGCATACTGTTACCCAACTATTGATTAGGCGGACTGAAACACGTAATCAATTGAGTAGCAGCAAGATTTAGCTCAATTTTTAAT